TTGGGGTATTACAGCAGTTACTATTACATATCCTGCATGTATCTTCTAGGAGCATTTATCTACCTTACCTTTATCTACCTCTTAACCACAAAACCCTCTTTTGTTTCCAGCCTTTAAGATGATTTAAATATTTAATTATCTTACTAGATGCCAGTTCACACTTTGCACTTGCCATGTGAATTTTAAATTGGAGGAAAAAATGCAAAAAATTGAAGTATTTTATCAGTTATTTTGATTGTGACCCTAAAAATCCCACTAAAGAATACCTGCCAGGCATGATGGTACAACAGCAAGGAGGACCCTGAGGTGACACCCAGGACTTGGAGGCAGATTCATTTACGTCAACAGGCACAGATTGGGATCATTCCCCAAATATCAGGCCTGGAGGCTCAGGGAGGGAGGTTTTTATGGGGTTGCAAGCAGATAGCAGAGCACTTGGCTGTCTTTGATTGTTTCTGACAATGTGCGTAACATTGAGCAGCCGTTTCTAGGAGAGGGTGGCAACAGGAACTATTACCTGGGCAACCGAAGTATAACTTGTGGCGATCTTCCTGTCTCAGCCTCCTGAGTGCTGGGCTGTCTAATAATAGCTAATAAAACTATCTAATAAAACTTCAGTTAGTTTCCACTGAATCCATTGCCTGACTAGGTGCTGTGTAATCCAGTTTGAGCAAGAATCTTCCTAAGTCAGTTTAGGGAAAATCTATTACCTGTGATATCTGAAACCCTGTCTCAAAAACAACAACAAATGAGTGGACCAGGCAAAGGAAACAAATGAAGTTAGAAAACATTTCAAATGAAATAATGAAAGTATAATGTAGAAAATCATAAGGTGGCTGAGCATGGTGGCACATGCCTGTAATCCCAGCACTCAGGAGGCTGAGGCAGGAGGATTGTTGCAAGTGTGAGGCCAGCTGGGCCACAAAGTAAGCGCAAGGCCAGCCTGAACTGCACAGCAAGACCCTGTCTCAAAAAGACAAAAAATTTAAAAAATTGTAAGGTAGCTATAGCGGTCCTTAGAAATTTAAATGCACACACAGAAAATAAGAAACACCTAAAATCAATATAGTCTTTAAGTTTCCACATGAAGAAGCTAAAAAAGAGACAAATTATACAGGAAATTTTAACAGATAATTAAAAGCAGTGAAATAATCACTGGAGAAACAGTAGAGAAAATCAGTGAAAACAAAAGCTAAGTTTTTGAAACAATAAATTCAAGAACTCTTCTCGTTAAATTTATCAAGAGAAAAGGAAAAGCCAGTTACAGGAATGAAAGGGGATATCCCTATAGATACTACAGATAATAAAAGAATAATAAATTCAGATTAAATTTAGATTTCCTCTGGGAGCAGGGCTGGTCAGTATTAGGAACTGAACCCAGGCCCTCATGGATGAGGCAGGCACTCTAGCACTGAACTGCAACCCTAGCCCTCTTTAAGACAGGGCTTCACTAAGTTGCCAGGCTTGCTGACCTCTTTCAGCCTCCTGAGTAACCGGGTTTACAGGTGCGCAACACCAGACCTGCCCAATTTAGGTTTCATCAAATAAGAAATTTTTAAAATTACCCCAGCTGAGTCAGAAAGAAGCAGAAAACTTGATGGCCTCACATCTACTAAAGAAATAGAATCTATAATTGAAAGCCTCCATCTCCCATCTCCCATCCCCCGTTCCCCACAAAAACAAAACAGAAAACTTCAGGCCCCGGTGACATTACTGACAAGTTCTGTCCACTGAGAAAATCAATCCTACACAAACTATTTTAGAAAGCAAAATAGGAGAGGGTACTTACCAACTTGGTTTGTGTGTGACCCTCTGAGACATAATCCCAGGAGTGGAACTGCTAGAACATAGTATATTTAATTAACTTTACTCAGTGATGACAGCACCCACCCCTGCCCCCAGGACAGCTTCACCACTACACCCTACTGGTACTGCATGAGGAGTCTTGTCTTCCACCATCTCCAGCGTTGGACGTGGCAAAGGCAGTGGAACGCTGCAGAGAAAATGGATTCTACAGGCAAATGCCTGGGTTTAAAAATTACCATTTTCTGTGTAACCTTGGAGAATTTGCTGAATTTGTGTCTCAGTTTCCTCATTTGTTAAACAATAATATCTGTCTTCAGATACTAGGGATGTGTAGGCATTAGTAGGTAAAACTGGCACTTTTCTATTTTAGCATTGCCCCATTTAATATAGTTTCTGAGTGAAGATTTCAAATTAAACTACAGACTTGCAAGAAATACGTTTTAGGTGAGCAACAGAATACTAGTCAATGAGAGTTTTGGTCTTTATTTGTGTAGGTAGTATACTTAGCAGGATCACAAACATTCTCATAAATGTGAACATAGAAAATTTGACATCCGTCAGTTACTAATTTTTCCCACAAATCTTACTCTTCCCTTCTTTTCCACTGTGTAGCGGAAGAAGCTAGGCATTTTTTCCCTCTTTAAAATGCATGTATGTATGTATGTGTGTATTTATTTATTTATACATATATACATACGTACATACATACCAGGGATTGAACCCAGGCTCTTTGCACTGAGCTAGATTCCCAGCCTTTAAAAAAAAAAATGGATAGGCCGAGGGTCTAGCTCAGTGGACAGCACCTGCCTAGCAAGGGGAAGGTCATGAGTTTGATTGTCGGTAACAAAAAAATAAATTTTTTTTAAGCTTTGAAACATGGTGTCTTGGTTACTTTTCTCTCGTTGCTGAGACAGAATACTTCACAGCCTGTGGAGGTTTCAGTCCATACTTGGCTGGCTCTGAGGCAAGGTGGCACATGGCAGAGGGCAGCTGTTCATGGCAGCGGAAGATATCAAAAGAAACAAGAGCAAAAGAGGAATGGCAGAGAGGGGAGAGCAAGCCTCTTTCACTCCCTTATTTTGTATGCAAACTACCCGCCTCTGGGTGGGGGCGGGTGTAGCACTCACACCCATAATCCCAGCATTGGATCATGGATCCATCATAAACTCTAAAAGCCTGCCCCATGACTGCATGAGGCTTTGGGGGGACATCCAGACACAAACCACAATACATGGTCTCCCTAAATTGCAAGCTGGGCACAATCTTCCTGTCTCCCAGAGACAGGGAACAGTCCCAGAGTGTTCAGATTGCAGGCATACACTGCCACGTGAGGCTCCAAAAGGATGTTTTCTAGTATTCTGCTAATTTCTCTTTTGCAGAAACAGCCATCCCTCTGGTTGGCCATGTGAAAGGAAATGAAAAATGGGAGCTTTTGCCTCTCTACGTACTGGTTAAAGATATCAGTGGTACCACAGTCAAGTGAGTTACTGCAGGTGAAAATATGAAAAGTGATGCTCAGTACACACATCTGTTTACATTTCCTCCCACCCTGGAGCTTGAACCTAGCCACGTATCAATGGAATTAACTTAGGTGTGTTTGTGTGTGTTTGTGAGTTCAATTCCCAGAGCTTATATGCTGGACAAGTGCTTTACTACTGAACTATAGCCCCAGCAAGGAAACTAACTTGTACCTAATAAGGTTTGGTGCTTGAGACCTTTAGCTTTGCCATGCTCTTTTATCACAGGCTTGCCCTGGAGTAGCATGCAGTCATGCAGCTACCAACAACTTAGCTCCAACTTCTTGTGTCTTCAAACTTTGTCTTAGTCAGTGACATCATGATCTACCCATCATGATCTACCCAGTTGCTCAAGCCTCAAACATAGGAGTCATTGTAGACTCTCCCTCTTCACTCTCCACATCCAACCAATGTGTCCTGGTTTTCCTCCAGATTTTTTTTTTTTTTTTTGGGGACAGGGTCTCACTGTGTAGTTCAGGCTGCCATTGAGCTCACCGTGTAGCCCAGGTTGGCCTCAAAGTCACAGCAATCTTATTGCCTCAGCCTCCCAAGTGCTGGGATTACAGGCGTATGCTACCATACCTGGCCCCAGATATTACCATGTAATCACTGTCCCGGCCCCATCATCTCTTACTCAGATTACCTTACTTGGAGACGGGGACTCACTGCAGGCTTCCCTGCCAACTGGTGTTGTGGAAAGCGTCTCCAGTACACTTCCTTGCTCACCTGGAGCTGGAACCTAGCAGTGTTTGGTTCCTGGAATACTACATGGTTGCTGCTGCCTCAAAACTTTTGCACCTACTGAGGGCTCTACCAGAGTATTCCGTGTAGATCTTCCAGTAGCTCATATTCAGGAAGAGCTCCTTGACCATTGTGACTGTATTAAGTACTCTCCTTTAGTCACTCAGAAGTCTGTTTGGTTGTATTTATAGCATCGCAAAGTCATGTTGACCTTATATTGCCTGTTGCCTTTCATTAGAACCACCTCACAAATGCCTGGAAGAATACCTGATGTGTATGAGTGCTGAATGAATAATTTTTGAACAAACAGTATGTTGTGACTTTTCCCCTCATTTTTGTTGTTGGATTTTTTTGTTTGGTTGGTTGGGTTTTTTTTTTTTTTTTTTTCTTTTTTGGTACAGAGTCTAACTATATAGGCCAGGCTGGCCTCCCTCCCACCCTGAGTGCTGGGATTACAGGCCTGCACTTCTGTGCCTGGCAGGACCTTTCGTCTTACGTAGCCTTTGTTTCCCATGTGTATGACTCCTTTAGGGACTCAGTCGCAGGTGGTGATGCCATGTGAGTGGCAGGGCAGGACTGGAACATTCCCAGTAGTACCACTAAATCCCTTGAGAAAGCATTTTGAGTTTTCCTGTTCTTCCTGCAAAAATATCTCTTGGGGATTAAGCCCTGAGACCACAATAGAGATCTGGGGAAGGATTCAGGACTCGGTGTGTTAGCCATTGCCAGATCTGCCTAATCCCTTTGACAGATGACTAGCACCAGCCGCGCTTTAGAAGTGTACCCCATCCTCTCCCCAGCTGCAAGGCACTTGCCCCCTTCTTCAGTGCAAATATACCTCCTCCCTCCTCGTTCGTGCACGCTGTATTTTTCCTCTGTGTGTGTCACATTTGCCTTCTATGCATACCCCGTTCTCTTTCCACATCCTGTAAATCATTCACGGAATCACAATTTTATTTCGGTAGAGAGCTCAGGGCAGGGGTGGGCTGCACACATGGACCCTCCGCTGGACGCAGGCGGCCAGGCTGAGTTTCGTGGGTAGAGGAATATGCATCAGGATGTTCCTGCTGTGCAGCTTAGTGCCGCCGAGGGGCCCTGCCCGGTACACGGGGCAGGAGTACACAGCCGGACCAGCCGCCCTTGACAGGACACCGGCGCGCTGGGCGCGCGCGCTGACGCTGACAGGCGGCAGAGGGCTGGGCTGGCTGGATGCACAGTCCTGCAAGGCCCCAGCTGCCGGGTCCCACTTGGCATGCAGGAGCTGCAGTCCTACCAGCAGCAGCCCTGTCTCTGGAACCATGGGACTCGGGCCATTCTCCACCTAGAGGGCCAGAAGCCGGTTAGACAAGGCTGTGAAGATGGGGCCTGGGGAGTGGAAGTGGGGGGGTGGGGTGGGGGGCAAGGTTAGAGTGCGATCAGAGAAACGGAATTACTGAGGAGCGCGATGGGGTACAGTCAAGGACTCTGTAACAGACGGGGCGATGCTAAGATACCCGGAGGTGCAGAGGGCTGCCGCTCAGTTCCCGATGTCTGTGCGGGACAGGACAGGAGCTGGGGCCTTCGCTGCCCGGAAATTTCAAGTTGGACAGGCGCTGCTCCAGGGCAGCCTCCCAACGCAGTGCTAGCAGCAGGCGGCGCGGGTGCCGAAAGGCGGACAGGTGGAAGACGCGCTCTGATACTTCGGTGCCTGCGTTGGCGCCCAGGTAACTAACCAACAGCTCCCCACGGCTCGAGAGCTGTCGCAGCCATTGCCAGGGCGGCTGCGGGCCAGAGGGCGCATGAGGTCGCCAAGGCGCGGGTAGGCGGCCAGTCCAGAGAGCGTGGGCCACCGCGGCGCAGCGGTGGGAGGGGCAAGGGGGCTCACCCTTCAGCTGCCGCAACTGACAGTCGAGGTCGCGCTGCAGTGTACCCACCAGCTGACTCAGTTCCAGCGCTTCGGCCTCTAGGAAGTCCTCCAGAGGCCGCCTAGTGCCGCGCCCCCGCACCGCCGAGGACGGGTCTCGGCGGGTGTGGTTGCTGAGCAGGGCCTGCAATGACTCCAGCTTCTGCTTGGCTTGCACCAGGCGCTGCCACAGCCGCCTTTCCGTGCGCCTGGCACCTCCGCGAGCGGCAGGAACCCACGTGGTTGAACTCTGCTGGAGCACGCGCAGGAGCGTGAGACTCTGGCGCCGCAACAGCCAGGCCTGAGGGCCCTCACTCAGTCCACAGGTCTGGGGTTCAGACGGTGTGGGCAGGAGGTGCATCTGGGCCTTGCATTCTGCCATAGCATCCAGCTTCCCCAGATCTTGGGAGAGGTCAAAGGTTGAGGAAAAGAAGGACGCTCCCCACCCCACCCCCGCACCCCCCCACACAGGAGGGTGTAGGCGGCCTTTCCTTGATCCTTTGGGGCACCACCCGCAATCGTGTGTGCATAACCCCCTCACACCCTTTGCTTGGCACTGGTGTGCAAATTCTGTAGGGTACCACTGCACTTCACTATCCCCTCCCAGACACAGGTACCTTCCTGGTGCTTACCTGGGCTGGGCATCAGGGTGGCCAGCAGATACTGAGGTGTGTGTGGTTGGACCCAGCTATGGCTCCTGGGGCGCAGGCAGGCTTGGGTGAGGCTAATCAGGGCCTCTCTGTCCTTGGTGTCCCCCAGAGATCCCCCATAGAAAACTGAAGCTGAGAATGAGGTCAGAACCCCTCAGTTCCACTGCAATCCCTTTCCAAACCACCCACCTAAGCCAAAGTTGTGAATTATGTCTTGGCCTTAAAACTCCCACCCGCGCCCTTTCCCAGGTCTCCAGGGGGATGACTCGTGCATGGGGGTAGGAAGGACCTCACCAGCCAGCTCTTGCATGGCAGTGCTTGGATTGCTGAGACTAGCCCACAGCTGCTCTTGGGTCTCCAGGGCCTGGGTCAGGGTCAAATGACTCCTGAGGGCAAGGCGAACAGAAAGTAGGATTTTAAATATCACCTCTCTTGAGCTATAGGCTCATGAGGGCTTGCTAGTTATTCAACTTGCTTTCAAGAGAAATCATCATGTTCCTGCCTGAAACCTATTCTGTCTGCTATGCCAGTGAGAGGTAGGAGCCACCCGGCTGTCTCAGGCAGAAATCTGGGTGTCTCCCTTGACTCCTTTCTCACCCCATACACTATATAGTCTCTGTCCCTACTACTTGGTCTCTCCCACCCAGCCAGTGCCCCCTTCCCTGGGAACGGCCAGAGCCTCCTAAAACTTCTCTGCTCGCCCCGGTTCTGCCTCCCCTAGCCCATTCTTTACACTGCGGCCAAAGCAGTCTTTCCAACAGATGATCAGGATCGCCTTTGTTCTGCTTCAGACCGATCAGTGGCTTCCCGCTGTTCTCAGGATAACTTCGGGCCATTTGTCAGGGTCTTAAAACACCTTGTGATGAGCTTCACTTCTTTCCACTCAACCCCCTCCCTGCATGTCCACCTCAGCTACCCTGAAGTCTCCCTCTGCCGAGTTTAGTTCCCTCTGTCTACAAATCTCTATGTGAACCACCTCTGCCTTAAGACTCAACTCGGGGGCGTGAAATCACAGAATCTCTGAAGAAGCGTTCCTATTCCGAGACCTCCCCTGAAACTCTCCAAGATGAATCAGTTTCATTCATCCCAGCATGTGGAAGATACTGTGCTTGCCAAGGGACTGACAGGACAGGACAGGACAGGACAGGCGGACTGCTCACCAGCGCCCCCGGTGTGCCTGCAACCTCGCTGCGTAGAGCTGCCGGTGCAGCAGGAGCCCATGCAGGAGCAGCAGAGGCAGTGCCTGGGTAGGGGACTGCATGTGGGATCCTTGCTGGGCCAGCTCCAGACTGTGGATCAAGATGTGACCCAGCTCCAGGGACTGGTCCCAGAAAACAGGCATGCAGTGCTGACTCAGCACAGCTGGGGGGGGGAGGAATGAAGGAGAGTGCTTAGTCAGCACTGCATTTACCTTCCCTCCTTCAGTTTTTGTGTGTGTGTGTTTTTGGTTTTGGTTATTTGAGTGAAGTCTCAGTATGCAGTTCAGGTCAGCCTTGGTCTCACTATGTAGCACAGGCTGACTTGAACTTGCAACAATCCTCCCGCTTCCACCTCCTGAGTACTGGGATTACAGGCATGTGCCACCACACCTGCCCCTCCTTCAGTCTGAGTGCACAAGTGGGGTATGTTCCTCACCTGGCAAGGAAGCACTGGCCTCTGCAGATGCAATAAGCCAAAGACGGAAATCTCTATGGACGGTGGCAGCATTCCTGCTTTCAGCTTGAGCTAAAAGCAAAGCCTGTTCCTGGTCCGAGACCACTAGGGTTTGACAAGAGGCTGAGATCAGCCCTCAAATCATTGGTCACACATGAGTTTGGGCACCACACTTAAGACTGGGAGAGCAGGGGCTGGGGATTTAGCTCAGCGGCAAAGCGCCTGCCTGGCAAGCGCAAGGTCGTGAGTTCGGTTCCCAGTACCGGAGAAAAACCAAAAAA